CCAAATGTCCATCAACTGGAGACTGGATAAAGAAAATGTGGTTTTTTAATAAAATGGAGTACTACTCAGCCATAAAAAATGAGAAATTCGAGACATTTATAGGTAATGTTTTTAAAGTAAAAGTGCTTCTAGAAGTAAGAATACTCTCTTTTTGTAGCTCAATAGTAGCATATCAGCCAGCTGGAGACAACAGTCACACCTTTGATGTCACAGCCATGTTCAAGTCTATTGGGATCTTCCTTGGGATCTTCAGTGGCTCTTTTGCGATGGGTGCTGCTACTGGAGTGGTGACGGCTTTGATATCCTTTTTTTATATTTCACCAAATGAAGTAGTTAAATGTTGTAATTCATTGTCCCTCCTATTTTTCTTATAATTATTAACCTCAGAACGAAGTACTTAGTCGGAAAACATGAAGCAGTACATTTTCATTGTTTTGCCCTAAAACTCACTGCAAGAATCTAATTAGACACAGGATCCCCTTGAGGATGAATTGTAAGGTCGTAGATTAAATTGATGTAAAGGTAGATAGATTCCAAAGAGCCTCTGAGAGATCTGTGCTGGTCAGCTTGGTAGTCTTCTGCTCTGTGTTTGGGAAGACAAACAGGAAATGTATGACCACGATGGCACATGAACAGAATATAGTTCCCGGATGGGGATATATAGGAATTGACCCTGGCCCTCCTAAAGTTTAGCTTTTGTGCTGTAGAACACTGGGCTGGGAGCCCAGAGGACCTGGGTTGTAACCCTGATACTGCCACCAGTTAGCTGTGAGAATTACTGGGCAAGCCATTCTTATATTCATTAAAAAGTCATTTCCTAATTGCTTATATGTGCCAGATGTTATGCTCTGGATATCAAAGATAAACAAGACAAATGGCTCCTACCTCCTCAGAGCTTCCGGCATTGTGGCAGACACAAACAAGGTTGATGCTTTGACACTTCACCTCTGCATCTCAGTGTCGGAAGGTGGGGCAGGGAGAGTAGGAAAGTTGAGTGGTACAGTATTATCACTAAAGCATTTCCAGCTATAAATCTTCTAAAGCAAATACATGATTCTTTTTCAAAGATTGACCTCTCAGTTTGATATATTTTAGCTTTGCTGGAAGGGACTACTGTCATGGCTTTTTGTAGGTGGACTGAGACATATGTATGTGCAATAAAAGAGTTCTAAAGAAGGAGCCATACAGATAGCATCTCTTTCCTGCTGCAGACTTTGAAGTCAGGAAGTATATCTTGCATGTCATTTTGTTGTAGTAGGTAGTTTCTGGAGTGGCTCTAGATTCTAGCCTGCAATTTGTCACAGCTGGTCACATGTCCTTTCATTGTCAGTGAACACATACTTTTTGGACTCATCTAAGTGAGCGAAGTGCCTCAGTTTTTTCATCATGGAATGAATGCTCTACATCAGAGATGTGTTAGAGAATCAAATAAATGGGAAATCTCATGGAATTGTGTGTTTTTATTAATATAAATTGCTATAATTATGGAACATGTCTTGCTTTTGGCGACAGAGTTAGAGTGGCAGATTGTGTATCCAATCTTGTTCTCGTCTCTACCTGTCCTTTTTGGGGGAGCAGCATTAAAGATTAAACCCAGGGTCTTTGTACTGAGCTGCATCCCCAGCCCTTATTTTGAGACAGGGACCAGCTAAGCTAAGTTGCCCGAGCTGTACTTGAACTTGTAAATTTTTTGTTTGTATGGTTTTTGGTTTTTTGAAACGGTCTAACTATATATTCCAGGTTAGCTTTAAACTTACTGTGTAGCCCAGGCTGGCCTCAAACTCATGGTGATCCTCCTGCTTCAGCCTCCTGAGTGCTGGGGTTACAGGCATGTACTACCATGCCTGGCATGGGTTTGAACTTGGGATCCCCCTGCCTCAGCCTCCCACAGTGCTGGGATTACAAGGGTGTGTGGCAGTGCCTGGCTCTGTTCTTTACTGTGTGGTTTCCAGCAAGGTATGTGACGCCTATAAAGCAGCAGGAGCAGCTAAGCTGTGAGGCTTCATTGATGGGAAGACAGCTTATTCCTCAGGAAGATGGTCACTCTAAGGGTTTCTTGACACTGGTGTTTCCCATTTTGTAATTTCTGTGGTAAGAGAGGCTAGAGAGCCCTTGTCTTGTTTTCTTGGTTGCCTTGCTTTGACTATTATTTTTCTAGTCACACTTCCATATTCCAAGATCTCGTTACCAAGCTTAACAGTCTCACGTGACAAAATTCACCAAATTGCGGGAGTTCCAGTTGCTGGAGACCGGCTTGTTTTTCCTGATGTCCTGGAGCACCTTCCTTTTGGCTGAAGCATGGGGCTTCACAGGTGGGTTACTTTCTCCTTTGGATTGTAAACCCTTACAGGGAATCACTCCATGAGCCACTTCTACAAGTGGAGTAGCTCCTTTAGTATTTGAACCAACTTGTTATGGTTGGGATTTAGGCTGTCATTTTAGAATGTAAAAAAAAAAATTTAATTGGAAGCAGTTCCTCAACAAAATTAAAGTAAATGAAAGTGTCGGTTCTCTGTACACAATCTACTTCTGTAAAATAAGAACCTCGGCATGAAAGATGGGAACCCCCCGTGATGTGAATTTGGAATTTGTTGTTTTTGTAGGTGTGGTTGCAGTTTTGTTTTGTGGCATCACACAAGCACATTATACATACAACAATTTATCCACAGAGTCTCAGCATAGGACAAAACAGGTAAGACAAATTTTATAGTTTTTGAATAAAATTTTCCTTCTCTCAGGAAAACAGAAGCTTTTGTTAACTTAAAGAATAATCCTTAATCAAGGTTCTGTCTAGTCTTCCTTTGACTCTAGAAATGGACAAGACTGGCAAGTGAGAGGGTGAAGGCTTGTGGATGGAGATAGGTTAGCAGCACAGCTAGGGATTATTGTTCTTGTGCCTCCAGTAACCACTCTGTTAGCTTCCTCGTCTGTTGCTGTTTCCTAATCTAGTGGCTTTTAAGAGGAGTCTTTGGAAGCTCACTTTAGCTTGACTAGAGCTGCTGCCATGTGAAGCGGAGAAGATTAACTCCTAATCTGGCTAGATCTGCTGGGCCATCCAGAGAGCATTAACTTCCTTCAGTCTTCACTCAGGCCCTGCAGAGCTGCTCTTTCCAGGGGACTGTGTCAGTGGTCGGGTACTGAATGATCACTTGTGCAGGGTACTTGAAAAGAATTACGAGGGAAATAAGCATAGAGTTTTCTGGCTTAGGAGTTACATAGGACAAGTACATGAACAAAGTGTACAATCTGGAGTAGAAATAATTGCATGCTTGATGATGGATTATGGTGAGAACTAGGAGCATTCAGTTTTGCCAGGTGGTCAGAAATAGTAAGATGAGTGTGGAAAGGCCAAATTGTAAAACAGGCTCAGTGGTTCCTTTTCTCTTTGTCCAGAGCTGCAGATTTAGTTTATGACCTATGCTTTCCTCAACCCTTCAAAAGAAATTAGACTCCCTTCCTAAGCATAGATATCAGGGTCGCAAATCCTTTTTGCAAATCAATTCAGCATACTAAGTATAAAGAAGAAAACCAGCTGGGGTTCAGCCTTCTTCTAGGTAGCAGGATGGGACACACACAACCCACAGGATAAGAGTTTCCAGTCTTGGCACTGATATATGAAAGCTTGTATACGTAAAACAAATACTGTGACTAATAGGAATCCTAGCTTGTGTGCTTTGGATTCCATATCATATAAGACACTAGACAGTATAGGGGGAACAGCTTGAGTCTTGAGAACCTGGATTGCTGTTATAGAGGAAGTGTTGTGCGTACAAAGTTGGGAAGGACTTGGGGAGGCTTAGAGGAAGCAGAATAAAGGCAGGAATAACAAGACAGTGAAGTATATAACAGAGGTTGACAAATTATGGCTCTCAGGCCACATTTGGCCACTGCTGGGTTATGAGCTAAGAATGGTTTCTTACATTTTCAGATGACTGGGAAAAAATTAGGGGAAGAATTTTTGTGACCTATGAAAGTTAAATGGAATTCAAACTTGTGTCCATTAATAAGGTTTCACTGGCACACAGCCACACTCATTTTTAAATGTATGGCCTATAGCTGCTTTTGTACTACACTGGCAGAGTTGAGTAGTGTGACCGAGACCCTGTGACCTGTAAGGCCTCAAATATTTGTTCTCTGGCCCTTCACGGGAAAAGTATGCCAACCCATGTGTTGTGGATTAAGCCAGTACTGGAGAGGGACTGTATTATCTCAGATCCTGGCTCTACTACTTGCTGGATGTGTGGCCATCAGTTTTGCTATGTTTAAAATAAGAGAATGTCGTGCTCGCTTCGGCAGCACGTATACTAAAATTGGAACAATACAGAGAAGATTAAAATAAGAGAATGCCAGGCACAGTGGCGGACACCTTTAGTCCCATCTACATTGGAGGCTGAGGTAGAGGATTGCTTGAACCGAGGAGTTCAGGCCAGCCTGGGCAACATAGTAAGATTCTGTCTTGAAAGGAAGGGGGCACTCGGGGTAGAGCTCAGCCATAGCTCTTCCCTAACATGTGTGAGGCCCTAGGTTGAATCCCAAGCACCTCAAACAAACAAAAGTAAATAAGAGATGATAATAATACTTACCTCATGGTGGTGTTGTAAGATTAAAATAAGGTAATGCATGTAACTCCTTAGGCTAGAATTAGGCACATAGTCTAAACTAGACATACTGTAGTTATTATTAAGTAGGAGCAATAGTATATTAAATCAGTTAAAGAAAATTAAATACACTTATTTTAATGTTTATTCTTATTTTTGATAAATACCCAATTCTGCTCTAAGAAGGTCAATTTAATGTGCCCAAAGCCACACAGGTAACAAATAAAAAAGGCAGGGTTCAAGCCTAGGCATTTTGACCCGGGAGCCCATGTTCTTAACCTCCTTCATGTTGCTGTGGACCAGAGGACTCTGGGAAACTGATGGCCAGAGGGTTAGCAGCTGATGGAGGGCCTTCCCTACATTCACTCAACACGTCTCGTGCCTGCTCTTGGTGACACCTGGGGAGGTAGTGGTGTGAACAGGGTGGGGCTGGTAGGCAACAGTGGGGAGGGCACCGAGTGCAGGGCTGTGGTGCATGGGCCCTGTCTTTAGGAGGTTTAGTTGCTAAGTGAGTGCTAAGACTCATGACAAAAGTGAAGTCAGTGGCAAGCCAGCGATGTGTGAGGGGTCATGAAGCACTCTGCCAGGTGCAAGAAGTTGAGCTGGATTTTAGAGCTTATAGACAGGGAAGTATCTCAAAACTGCCACTTTCAGAGTGATTCATTGGGTGGGCAGTGGGAAATGAGGGGTGTCATGGCTACCAGTGTGGGTCCTCTTGCAGTATTCTAGGTGAAAAGTGATGAAAGCTAGACTAGGGCAGTGACAGGGCCACAAGAAGATTACAGAAGAAAAAGTGACAGGGTTTGGAAGAGGAAGAGGAGAAAAATGTCTAGAAGTGGAGATTTGAAGAAGAGAGGCTGACTGGAGAAATGAGGGAGCAACATTTTTGGACCTTTCTGTGGGACTGGAAATGTCATCTCTACATTTGCTCTGTCTGAGTCACATATTTTTGGGTGTATGCATGACCTTTGTGAAATTGAAGTCTTTGTTTCATTATCTTGGTAATACATTTTCAAACTGTATAACTTAATTTATTTACTGGACTAATCTTTTAAAATTTCATTTCAGTTGTTTGAGCTTCTCAATTTCTTGGCAGAGAATTTCATCTTCTCCTACATGGGGCTCACACTCTTCACTTTCCAGAACCATGTCTTTAACCCAACATTTGTATTGGGAGCATTTGTATCCTTTGTCGTGTGTTCTGTAAAAACTTATTTAACTGAGATTTTCATATGGTTTTGAGGGTGGGGTAATAAGAATGCATTTAAATATTTTCAGTTTTCCTCAGAGTAAAGCAAATAGGGATTTCAACTCTTTTTGTGTTCTATTCAATTGATTTCATTCTATGCTATTTTTATTTCTGTTTATTGCACAAATAGGTTGACCGATTGAAATGACAGAAATGTCTCCTATTATTCTGTTAACTCCCAGAGATAAAACTGTTTGTCCTCTGTTACTGAGGAGAAGGAGAGCAGGACAGGAGGTAAAAGATGAGGAGGGGTTGCGTAAGGCCACTGTCTTTCCCTTCTTCTCCTCTTTTTCATGTGAGTGAATTGAGTCTTTACAAACCAATTAAAAAGAAGCTGAGTGTGTGAGAGAGAGCAGTCCATAGTGTAAGACTCATGAGAAGACCAGGAGAGAGAGAATCTGAAGCATGTGGAGGGCCATTGACCTCCATTGTCAGTGAGGTTTTTTTAGGTTTTTTTTGGTCCCGGGGATCAAACTCGGGACCTTGCGCTTCCGAGGCAGATGGCAGAACCACTGAGCTAAATCCCTGGCCCATTGACCTCTATTGTTACAGAAGAGGATGGGGTATGTGGAAAGGAAGGGGTCCTGTACAATGGAGCATCTAACTGATCACTTCTGTTTTTAATCTGTAAAGTATGAAGTGAGATCAGCTACTGAGAGTGAAATAGGTATAGCAGTTGTCTATTCTGTTACGAATTGCGCTAAACCTTAGCAGCTTAATACAACAGGCATTCTTAGCCGTTTCTCTCTTTTTTTTTTGGTAATGGTGGGTCGAACTCAGGACCTTGCACTTGCAGGGCAGGTGCTGGAACCCCTGAGCTAAATCCCCAGCCTCACAACAGGCATTCTTTACCTCACAGGGATTTTGAGGATCAGGAATCCTGGAAAAGCTAGCTTGGTAATTCTGGCTACAGGACCTTTCAGGAGATAGCTGGGAGAACACTTAAGAATTGCTTAATGCCTGAGGATCTGCTTCACTCACCTGGCTGTCAGCAGGAGACTCCTGTCTTCCGCAAGGACTCTCCCATAGGGCAGCCCACTCATGGCTTCTGCCAGAGCGAGGTAGCTGAGGGAGTACCAAGGTAGAAGCCAAAGTGACTTCCATAGCCTAATCCTTGCATGTGGCAGACTTCTGTTGGTCACACAGACCAACTCTAGTATGATGTGAGTGGGCCTACACAAGGGTATGAATACTAGGTATCTGGGTTCATAGGGCACCATCTTGGTGGCTGGCTTCCACAGGTGACTGGGGTTTTGAGGAAGGTGGAGGTTTATGAAATAGTTGCAGAGGGTGAGACAGTATGAGTTGACCTAGTGGATCATTTGAGTTTGAGGACTAAGTGTTAGTGGTAGAATCGGCTGCCTTATTGTGTAAGTTTTGCCAGGAGATATAGATGTGAGCATGGGGAAATGAGATAGTTGGGTCCATCCAGCTTTGGAGTTTTGTCAACTGGATGCAGTGAAGACAGAGGGCAAAGCAAATGTAGACTATTAGAGTATTACTAACATGTGGATCAGAAGGAAGTGAAGAAAGGGGAGGACTAATAGGGGAAAATGCAGAACTATTTTTGGACTGGAGGTCCTGTGAGGTAGAAGAATGACCACAATGAGGTAGTTGAATGTGAGATATGGAAGGAATGATTGTGGTCAGAGATGAATGTTTGAATAAGTAATTAAAAAAAAAACCTCAGAAGAGTCTGCCAAAGTAATTAGTAGAAATTTTAAAAACTAAAACTGTGCATAAGATCTCTGTGTTAGAAAGTGAGATATTGCAGAAACACCATTCTGCAGTCTTCAGGCAAAAAATTGAAGAATGTTAACTGAAAGGCCACCTGAGAGCAGTAACTTCATATTCTGTAAATATTTGAGAAATTTTGGGGCAGAAAAATGGCTTGATCAACTGTGTTTAATCTGAAAACAAGGTTAAATGTTCTCCATAGGTTTCCAAATTTGTTTGGAATTGAAATTTTCATTAAAAAAAAATCTCTGAAAATTGACTCTTAACTGGAGAGAGTTGTTCTCTTTCTGTCTGTATTCTTTAGGGTTTCATATGATGAAGACTCAGATTAACCCAGCTTTACCCAAGAGGGAAGTTGTCATGTAAAAGCCCAAGCTGGTGTGACAGCTGTGTCCACAGTCTCAGGGACGCAGGCAACTCTGGTGCTGCTCTCCTTAAGGAGTTGCCCTTTTTCTTGTGTCCAAGGTGGCTGGGTCAGCCCTGTAGCTGTGAGTAGCCTTTAAGGGCATCACCTAGACTATGTGTACCTCACTTCCACCTAATGTCACTGTTTATACCTACCTGCAAGGGCGGCTGGGAAACATGCTCTTTATCTGGGTGTTGTATACCCAAGTAAAAATCGCAGTCAAGAGGGAGGAGTGTCTACTACTACAGAAGAAAGGAAGAATAGATACTGGGGACAGCTAACAATTGCTGCCACCCTGATCCATAAGCTTTTTATTCTTTGCTTTTTTGGTAAGGAATCAGTGTTTTAAATAAATTTTTAAATATTGGAATACATTTAGTTTTTTTAAAAATTGTGAATATAGAAAGTTCTTATATACCCTATACCCAGGTTTCCCTATGACTAGTATCCCGCATTAGCATGGTACATTTGTCAAGGCAAATGAGCCAACATTGTTATATTATTATTTACTAAAGTTCATGTTTTTTTACTAGAGTTCCTACATATTTTTCCCTCATGTCCTTTTTCTGTTCCAGAGTCCCATCCAGGATACTACATACACTTGATTGTCATGCAGCTTTAGGTTTTTGCTTGACTGTGATAGTTTCTCATCCGTTCCTTATTTTTGATGACCCTTGAAAGTTTTGAGAGGTACCGATGAGGTCTTTTGAATGTTTTCAGGATGGAATTTGTCTCATGTTTTCTCCATGATTAGATTAGGGTTATGTACTCTTTGGGAGGAACACGATAGACGTTAAAGTGCCATTCCTAGCATATCATAGCGAGGGTACACATTTATTACTATGTTAATGTTGGTGTGAGTCTTACTCACTTGGCTGAATTAGTGTTTGTCACGTTTTCCCATTGTAAAGTTACTCTGTTGTGTGTTGCTTGAAAAGAAGTCACCACATGCAGTCCACTTTTAGGGAGTGAGGAGTTAGGGTTCACCTCCAGAACAGACTGTCTACACAATTACCCTGAATCCTTTACACAGGAGATTTATCTGTTCTCCCCATTTATGGTTGTATTCATGTATTTATATCAATGTGGATTCACTGATACTTACTTTATACGTTACCTTATAATATAATACAACTTTTTAACATTTGTTGCTCAGACTATTCCAGCTTTAAGCCATTGGGAGCTCTTTCAGTGGATTCCTGTGTCCTCTTGACATATCCTATCATTGTCGGTTTTGGTTTTGTTTCATTTATTGTTTTTGGAGTACTCCTAACTTTATTGAACTACAGGATGTTTCAGGCTCATTTTGTATATTTTCTGCCTCAGCTTGAGACTTGGACATTTCTTAAGGAGCTCTGGTTCCTTTTATTGGAGAATGATGCTAGAAACCAAGTTCTGAGCACTAGGTGTGCTCAGAGCTACCAGGTGTCCTTCTAGGCCCGCTCAGCTGACGGAACAAGAAAATATACATGCCTGTGCTGGGTCACATATATATGTACGTCCGTATGAATACTTATATGTGTAACCAACTCTATCTCCATTAAGCTAAACACGAGCTCATACTGATGTCTCTGTTATCCACTACCACACATCATTCTGACCTTCTTCCCTTGTTGATCTGTTAACTCCCACTCCAGTGGTGAGAAACCTAACTCCTATTATGTGATATCCATTTACTTAATTGTTCAGTTCTAGTGAACATGTACAGTCATGTATCACTTACGGGTGGGGATATGTTATGAGAAATGTGTCATCAGGCAATTTTGTCATTATTTAAACAAACGTGGATGGCAACTGTCAGTTGCCTCTGCTGTAGTTAAAAGACTCAGGAAACACGAGATATACGAGACACAGCATACTGTTTTATGGTAAACCTTTTGTTTTATAAGTAGGAGTACATTCTAATGTTAAAAAGTATAGTATAATGAAAACAACACTGAGATTCCACTTCACTCCAGAAAGAATGGCTGCTATCATGAAATCTCCCAATAACAAATGCTGGCGGGGCTGTGGGGAAAGAGGAACCCTGCTCCACTGCTGGTGGGAGTGTAGACTGGTGCAACCACTGTGGAAATCAGTATGGAGATACCTCAAAGAACTAGGACTGGAAGTCCCATTTGACCCCGCTATTCCACTGCTGAGGATCTTCCCCAAAGAATTAAAAGAATCATACCCCAGTGATATATGTGCACCCATGTTCATAGCAGCGCAGTTTGTAATAGCTAAAACTTGGAAACAGCCCAAGTGCTCGTCAACTGGAGACTGGATAAAGAAAATGTGGTTTTTTTTATAAAATGTAGTACTACTCAGCCATAAAAAATGAGAAATTAGAGACATTTATAGCTAAGTGGATGCACATTGAGGCGATACTCTTAAGTGAAATAAATAGGACTCACATGTGTAAATACCGAATAGTTTCTCTGGAGTGAGAAACTGAAAGTGTAAATAAGGACTAAATGTATAATAGGTCATGTGAAATAGGAAGAAAAGGGGCAAAGGGGAAGGAAGTGGGAGGGCTAGGGGAAAGGATAGAAGGGAATGGGATTAATATGAGAAAATGGAAAAATAGGAACAAAATCTTTGTAAATAGGGAGGACTGGAGGGGTTGAAGGGAGGGCTGGGCAAGGGTGAAAAATAAGAACCAAGAGAGATTATGTAAAGGTGCAAATTTCCAATGATGAATGTCATATTGTATACCTAAAATGTACCAATGATTAGAATGAATAATCGATAATGCAAAATAGGAAGAAAAGGTCCAAAGGGGTAGGGGTAGTGGGAGGGGCAGGGGAAAGGAAAGAAGGGAAAGGAAAAAATGATGAGAAATGGAAAAAATGGAAATAAAGTCTTTGTAAATAGGGAAGGGTGGAGGGCGTGAAGGGAGGGCTAGGAATGGGGAAAAAATAAGAACCAAGATGCATTATGTAAAGGTACAATTCCCAATGAGAAATGTAATTGTGTTGTATACCTAAAATGTACCAGTAAAAGAATTTAGTAGAAAAAAAAAGTATAGTATAGTAAATACATAAGCCAGTAACATTATCATTTCTTATCATTATCAAGTATTATGTATAATGGTGCATACCATACTTTCATATGACTGGCAGCGCAGTAGATATTTGTAGCACTGGTACCACCACAAACACATGAGTAATGCAGTGTGCTTCGCCGTTATTATGGTTGTAGTTTCACTGGACAGTAGGAATTGTTTTAGCTCCAATAGGCTTTTGGGACTACCATGATATACACTGTCAGTCATTGACCAAAATGTTATATGGTACATGACTGTATGACAGTATCAGAACTGTTAACTGATAATCCCATGGGAAATAACTTTATCAGCGGGCGTCTAATCTTTAGGTGCTGGTCCTTTTGCCTTTAGACTTATAGACCGTGTTCTCTCCCAAGGCACTGTTTCTACTACATTATTTTGTTTTTAATATTAGATTTCCCTTTATATTCCTTTCAGGAAGTGGAGTGGGTTTGTATTGTGACCCCTGAAATTTTAAAAAAATGTACTTATAAAGCAGGAGTTTGTACAGATAGCAAGTGAAGAAAAAGACACCGAGATTGGTTTCTAGTTAAAGCTGTCTGAATTCCCATTAAGCCTGTCCTTTGCAGCAGGCTCAAGGTGTAGACTCCTGGGACTCAACTGGGCTTGCAGGAATTTTAGGGGGATGAGGTGGCTGAGCTTCCCTCTTTGTTCTGTGGAAGGAAGGGGAAGTTTAGCCGGCATTACTTCTCAACACAGACAAGTGAGAAGAGTTAGCCTGTTAATACAGTCATACCTTACTCATTGCTTCCGAACTTGTCAGATCCAATACCGTACCTGTTGCATACTGTGCTCAGCACTTGTGTCTGTCTCAGGATAGCTCTTGAACAGCACAGAACCCCCCCCCCCCAGTCCTCCTTAACATCTTGTGCTTTTGTGCATTTAAGTCACAGAAAGGTTAAAAGTGATACCACTAAGCTCAAAAGGCTAATATTAGCCCAGTAAAAGGTTAATATTAGCCCAGTAAAATGTGAAAGTTCTGGGGAACTTTCATCACAGATTATTTCTAATTCCATTACTTCTTATGGGGAAAAATTCTTTCCATATTCATCGGTTTCAGCACGTGTTACAGAACCAATTATCAAGGAGTACCGAGGTATGACTGTAATCTAAAAACTATGGTAAAGAAATTCTGCTTTTAAACCTCTCTCTTGATCTAATGGATTTCCTATATATTAGACCCTCACTGTCCAATTTGGTGGCAACTAGCCTTGTGTGATTATTTAAATTTAATTAATCTAAACTGATATAAAATTAAAATTTTAGTTCCTCGATCACACTAACCACATTTCAGGTGCCCACAATACAGTATTGGATAATGCAGATACAGAAAATTTCCACCATTGCAGAAAGTTCTATTACATAGTGCGGTTAGACATTGGAATCGAGAGACTGTTAAAAACAGATCCCTGCAACAGTCTTGTCAGTTTCTTGAATGTCTAGTCTAAATAATTATAAAAAGAAAAAAAAAACAGTTCCTTAACCTCTTAATAATTTTAGATTGCTATTTTCTTGGGAAGAGCTGCCAATATTTACCCCTTGTCTCTCTTACTTAATTTGGGTAGAAGAAGTAAGATTGGATCAAATTTTCAACATATGATGATGTTTGCTGGTAAGTTATAACTTCCAAGAACTCATTCACAACACATATGCCACTTGATAGGATTTGAAACTGAAATGTAGTGCTGCTAATATAGGAGTCCTTGAAACACTGACACTGCATCCTGAAATAGAAAATTCTTGTTACAGTGTCACATTCCCAGCTGGATGTCGTAACTCTTGCCTGAAATCCCAGCCCTGGGAGGCTGAAGCAGGAAGAGTACAAGTTCGAGCCCAGCCTGGGCAACTCAGTGACTTAGTGAGACCCTGTCTCAAAATTTAAAAAGGGCTGGGGATGGAGTTCAGTGCAGAGGCCCTGGGTTCAATCCACAGTGCTACAAAAACAAAAACAAAAAGTTCCATTCCCTTTTTTGGGAATTTTTTCATGTTCTGGTTCTAAATCATTAGCTCAGAAATATGTCATATGTAATCCTAGCCCACAGGAGGCTGAGGCAGGAGGATTGCCATGAGTTTGAGGCCAGCCTGGGCTACATAATGAGTTCAAGACCAACCTGAACTACATGTTGAGACCCTGTCTCAACCAAAAAAAAAAGTCACATAAAGAAAGATAAAGATGCATGTATTGTTGTACAAATGTGTGTAGATGAATGTCTGTAGCACTTCTGTTTATCATTACCAGAAACCTGGAAACAACTCACTTGTCTGTCTTTGATGGGCAAGTGGAGAAACAAACTGGTACATCCATGCCATGCAATAGTAGTCAGCACTAAAAAGAACAAATTATCCATACAATGACATGGATGACTGTCAGAGGTGTTATGCTGAGTGAAAGAAGCCAGTCTCAGATATTACACACTGTATGATTCCATTTATATGACATTCTCCAAAAGACAATGTGGTGATGATGGAGATTGGATCAAGGGTTGCACAGGGTTTGACAGGTTTGAGGAAGAGGTTGAACTAAAAGGGGGTAGCACAAAGAGTTCTGGGGAGAGGATGAAAATGTTCTGTGTTTGGACTGTGGCAGTGATCACACCCTCTATGCATTGTGATAACTCATGAAACCATACATCAGTAAGCAAATTCTACTACGTAAATTAACAACTACATTTTGAACAGTTTTTGAAAGATCCGTGCGTGTCAGTATCGTATACTAATTCTACTATTCATACATATTTAGGCATCTTAATATATAGTTTATATTCGTTCATCTGCTCCTGAGTTTGTAGGATGTGCTTTATATCTCTGAATTGATGAAGCTTACATCAGAGACGAGTTATTGAAAAAATACCTCCTTGATTCCCTTCTAGGTCTTCGTGGTGCAATGGCATTTGCCTTGGCCATTCGAGATACTGCCACTTACGCACGACAAATGATGTTCAGCACCACACTTCTGATTGTGTTTTTTACCGTGTGGGTATTTGGCGGGGGCACCACTGCCATGCTGTCATGCTTGCATATAAGGTGAGTAGGAACCGGGGCCTCGTTTTAATGTTGCATGTTTATTATCATTGTTTTTCATTTAGTCACGAAGAAATTTTAAGCTTTTGAAAATCTGTAATATCCCATTTTTTTCTTTTAAAAATTATACAATGTAGTATAGAAAACAATGAAACTATGCAAAATGTGCTTATAATCCCAGCTGCTCAGGAATCTGAACAGGAGGATCCCAAATTTATGTACAGCCTTGGCATCTTAGCAAGATCTTATCTTAAAAAATAAAAAGGGCTGGGGTGTAACTCAGTGGCAGAACACTTGCTTAGCATGAGCAAGGCCAAGACTTCAATCCCCAGTACCATAAAAAAATCATGAACACTTTGAAGTATATCTTTCCAGATGTTCTTCTATGTTTTATATGTATTTTTAACAAAAAGGAGTAACACTGCAGGTACTTTTATAGACTGTCTTTTAAATGTAATATAGCATGGACAGTGTATATTTACATTATTATTTGAGTGGCTGCATATATCCTGATTTATTTAAACAAATTCCTATTGTTAGACTTTTATATTTTGGTGATATAATACCAAAATATTTATGGTAATATTTTGCTATTACTAGTTGAGGTTTTTGCTGTTAACATTACTGTTAACAATGTGAACATTCTTAAATGTGTACACCACTGTGCACTTGTTAGATTACTTCCTCAGGATGCATTCCTAGCAGTGGGATTACTTAGTCAAGAGCATATCATATGCATGGACTTAAGGCTTTTGCTCATGTCGCCAGGTTGGATCCATCTGCAGTGTGTGAGACAGTCCAGCTTTCCTCTCCTCTGATCAATACCAGATAGTATCATTCTTTCTCATCTTTGTGATGAGCAGTGTTTCTCACTCAGCAACCCGAGGCCAAGATCACAAGGTCTTAGTCTTCAGTGTGTACTGGTTCCTGTATTTAATTTGAAAGCTCCCTTGTATCTCAAGAGTTGTGCATTTGTTTCCATGGATACAGCAGTCTATGTTCCTGAAGGCTTTGTGGATTTTAGTTCTGTATTTGGCTGAAACTTCATAGACGTTAAAAGCTACCAAGGTTCCAGGTTACATAGGGTTCACTAGAGAAAACAGTATTTTGCATTTTAAAGAATCTGTCCTCCACGTTTCTCATTCTATTATGCCTTTCTTTTAGTGTTGTAAAAATTGTCTAGCTCCAAATCACAGGTTGAATGTTTTTGTTACTATCTTAATCTCTTTACTATTAGAAACACTTTTCTTAGGATTTCTGTGCTGTTACTGTAGATAATACACAGTCAACTATGGCATGTTCTTATAATAATCCTACTCATTACTTGAAGGAGCAGCTGGCATTTATTGAGCACCTACTATGGGGAACATTGTGTCAAGTGCCCTTAAGCTATTTATGTAATAGTAAAAAATGTATTACAAATGAAGAAACTGAGGCTTAGAAAGGTTCTTAGTTGTTTAAAATCATACAGATAATTAAATGATAGAGCAGCCTCTGGTCTTAGTTTCTTCCACACCACGATGCATCAAGAAATGATGGTGGTACATTTGAGAGGACCAAACTCCTTTCTTTTCTCATCAGCTTATAAATGAAGACTCTCCTAGGGAGGACAAGATTAAATGGAAGGTAACTTAGGAAAAGTAACACTCTTCGATGGAGTCTCTACATTTAAGGGGAATCAGTTCCTTCCCCTCATTGCCCTGCACAGAAACTATACAAAGTACCTGTGTTTACATCAAAAGCAAAAACACCCCCCAAACATAGAGTTTAAAGTATGTCACTAGTCTGAGAGCTCTTTGGTTGGCTCCACCTAGCCTGTTCTGTTACATAGTTTGGCACTTATTATTTTGTTTGTTTGTTTTCTGGGGTTTTTTGTTTGTTTGTTTTGAGACAAGGTCTCTCTATCCAGCAGTTCAGGCTGACCTTGAACAACTCACTAGGTAGCCGAGGCTGGCCTCGAATTTGCAGCAATCCTCCTGCCTCAGCCTTCCGAGTGCTGGGATTACAGGCATGTGCCACCACTCTCAGCAGTTTGGCACTTATTTATATACAGTCTTAGATCACTTCTTGTGGTTTTCTTGGACTTCTTAGCCTTGCTGTATTTTAAGCTTCCCTCTCCTAAATTTGTCTAGTACAATTTTGAGGATGCTGGTGATCACTGAATGTTGAAGAGTCACACACTTAAACTTAGGTTTGAGTTCTTACTCCTCCCTTCTTACTAATTCTGTGATCTTGGGCAAGTTCTTTCATCTTTCAAAGCCTCAGTTTTCTCATCTGTAGCCCATGTCCTAGAGCCTATGTCCTAGCGTTGTTGTAAGGACCCGGTGGGTAGATATCTGCACGCCATGGGCCCCTTATGCCGTCACTCAGGAAGTACTTTAGTGAGCACCAGCCCCTCGCCGGGCACTGTTGTAGGCTCCAGCTCAGTGGTTCTCAGCAGAGATCGTTCTGCCTCCGAGGGGACATTTGGCAGTGTGTAGAGGCACTTTTGACTGTCACAACTGGGAGAGGCCTGCTGTTGGTGTCTAGTAGGTAGAGGCCGGGGTTGCTACGGTGTATAGGATGGGCTCCCTCCCCAACCTGCCAACACAGGGTTATCTCGGCCAAAATGGCAGTCATACTAAGATGAAGAGACCCTGCTCCTTAGAGAGAGACAACGGCAGCAAGAAGATAGAAAAGCTCCACGGTCACATAAAGTCTGTACTTTAGTGGGAAAAGACAGACAGTAAACTAGTAAACAAATAAATAACATGACAATTTTAGATGATGTTAAATGTTGTGGTGGCAGTCAGTGTTCCATATAGTGACGAGGTGGGTGTGTAGTTATAAGAAGAGCCCAGGGAAGGTCTCTGAGAGATCACCTTCGACCTCAGCCTACCTGAGTGCCAAGATACTGCTAGTTAAACAGTTAGCCAGTCCAGGCAGAGGAGAAAGCAAGTGCAAAGACCCTGAGGCAGGAACAAACTTGGCCTGTTTAGTAAATAACAACAAGAGCTCATACATTGATCCTATGAGGCAGGAGTCTATAAACTTTCCCTAGTAAGGGCCCGAGAGTAAAGATTTTAGGCTGTGTAGGTCGTGGGGATTCTGTCTTGGCCACTCACCTGGACAGTATGCCAATCAATCTGTGTGGCCCCGTTCCAAGAAAACCTTATTTACAAAAACAGGAGGGGTGGTCGTGTGGCGCCTGGGCTGTGGTTGGTGGACTACTGCTTTAGGGTCTTGTAGGATATGGTGAGGATTTTGCATTTTAAAATGCCATTGGAAATCTTAGAGGCTATTTAACAAAGAAGTGCCATGTTCTCATTTACAGTGAAAAAGGATCACATTAGCTGTCATGTGATGATGGATCCTCAGTGAATCAGTCAGCCAGCCATTCCTGGGTCCTTTCACATGATCTGTGGCGTCACATTCGGCTCCCTTTCATTTACCACACATGCTTTACGTTTCTGTGTCCCTGAGGCTTTGCTCATACTGTTCCCTGTGCCTGGAACTGTCTTTTGCTCCCAGTAAGTGACACAGTCAAGTACCTCCTTTTCTCCCGGTTCCTTTATCTTGGAGCCACTCTGCTTGCATACCATTGAGTCTCTCTGTTATGGCCCCTATTTCCTTCAGCCTTGTAATAATACAGTATTGGTTAAGAGCTACCACTGAGTATCGATGATCCATCAGGCACTCTGAGCAGCTTTCAGTACCGTTTCTCATTTAATCCATGCAACAACTCTGTGTGGCAGATACTTGGCCCATGTTCCGGGTGATAGATAGACTCGGTCCCTAGGACTGCAGAACGACTGAGTTCCCATAGATTTTGTTTTTGGTACCCAGGATCCAACTCAGGATGGCGCCACTGAGCTAAATCCCTGGCCCTCACACACATTTTTAACCCAGTGCTCCCTGACAGCAAACCCTTAGGGATTCTGCTGTAGTTGTGTCTGTTTCCCACATGAGTCTGTGAGATCCTTGAAGGTAGGTGCTGTGTTTAATTCCTCTCTATGCCCTGAGCCTAGTATAGTGCTTGGCAAATAATAAGAGTTCTAATAAATGCTTATGACATTGGCTTTGGGTATTTTACCGAGTGTCACAAATGCACTATCTGGAAGACCACTAGATGTCACTTGAGATACATAAATGTGGTTCGTGTCTAATGTAATTGAGAAGGTGTTTAACAGCATCTGGCCATTTTTAACAAACTAAAAATGTACTTTTCTTTGAATTATGAATCTGGTCTTAGACATCTGCTTTCAAATACTTGACCATAATTCCCTTGCCTTCCAGATGTGGTCTTGCATTATTTTCCTCCCTTGAGTGTTACGTGTCTTTGCTGCGGCTTCTCATACTGCTGTTTTGTCTGTGCTGTCTGTAGTAGTTAACTCAGTAGATAAACATTGTTGCACCTATGGTGTGTTAGGTACTGTGCTAGACTCTGGGGATACAGAGATGAATTGAGACACGGCCTTTACCCTCAAGGAGTTCATAGTTCTTTCAGGGAGAATGACAGGCAAATAACTATACTCTGCTGTGCTAAATATTAATAAATTTTAATTATATTTATTAATTATATTAATAACTATACTTTGCTGTGCTAAATATTAAATAATTACTGTAATAAAGGGCTTGAAAGTGCTGTTGAAGCGGACAAAATAATTCTGCTTGTGAAGGGGTCATAGAACAGTTACTGTGGCACTTAACAAATGAGTAGGGAAATGAGGGAAAGCACATTTCGGCTAGAGGGAACAGCATGAGCAAAGGCATGGGCCAGGAGAGGACCGGGATTCAGGAGAGCTGCAGATGAGCGTGTAGAAGAGAATGATGGAGAATGAAGATGGAGAAGCAGGTTGGAATGAGGGATGGCCACTAGTTTGCAGAGTCTTGAGTGCCACGCAAAGGACTTTACACTTGACCCTTTGTGTTGTAAGCTGCTCTCAGAGTCCTTTGTGCAGGAATGACCCAGTGAGCTCTGTGCTTTACCCAGCTGACTCTGGGGAGAAGCTGGTAGCTGGGAAACCTTACACAACAGGCCCCATGAGTCAGAATAGGGCCTGCACCGGAGTGGCTGGGTGGGCAAGGAGAGGGGCACTAAAGAAACCAGAAGTGTGGGGCTCCTGTTAGGGGCTAGAGAAAGAGTCACAGAGCTTCTTAATGAAGCTGTTTCCCAAGTTACCCAAAGCAGGAATTCAATGCATGTACAAAAGAATTGTGAAGACCCAAGGCTATCCATTAGCCTATGAAAAAGCTGTAATTGGACCCTTTCTTCCATCATCATAATAGAGTGTTGCCCTGAGAGCTGCAAGGTCCAAAAACATGTGACTCCCTCCTGGAATTCCATTGTGTGCCAGGCTGGTTTTTAGAACTTTCCGGTAATTCTTACTTAGCAACTGGGGTATTGTTGCTCTCCCTGACTCTGCTTAAGAGGGGACTTCTATTCAGAGAAGAAATGCTATTTTACTGAAACTGGTAAGTGGAATTGTAGGAAGAGACTCATTGGCTCTGCTTGCCTTAGAATCCAAGCTGTTGCTAAGGAAAGTGGTAGGAGGCAAAAACTTTACATCAACAACCGTAGGTAGAGAGGGAAGAAAACATTAACCATTCCATAGCTTCTGTGTTGAGAAAAATTGCTGCCTGACAATGTACATATGTGACTAGACTTTTCTTGGCTTCAAAATCTCATTTGCTCTTTGTGTTTTTTCCTGTAGGGTTGGTGTTGATTCAGACCAAGAACATTTGGTAAATATGCATTTGTGTTGTCCCTGGCATCTCTGTCGAATGTGCAGTCATTTAGTAAGAAAACAGCCTCTTACAGACTTCATGCCACTGTTTAGATCTGTTCTATCTGCCTCCACCTCTAACTGACTTCACTTCTAGCTTTTCTCACTGCTCTGTAGAGACAAAACCACATTTTAGGCCGCATAGTTATCAAGGGTGACAGTTTTCCTATCTGTGGGCCATTCTGGGCTTGCCACAGAGGAGAGAAGTCTCTTTAGCACTCCTGGGTTTTCAAGTGACTGCGCCGGCACAGGGAGCCTTTTTCCATTCTGGTTTGCGCAGGAAGGCCTCTCTCTGATGTCAGCCCCACTCCAGCTGCTCTTCCTGTGTAACTTTCAAGTTGAATGACCAGCAGCTGCCCTTGAGAGCTGCTAAGACACTTTTGAATCTTGAACCAGCCCTCCCTGCCTGTTCAGGGAGTGCACTTTCTTACCCTGTGCCTCAGCTTTGGCCACATTTCCTTGCTTCCTTCTGTGTGTCAATTTCTCAGTTGTTCCTATGAACACCAGCCCATTGGACTGAGCACAGTGTAACTGGCTGCCCTCTCTAGACTGACCACCCTTTTCTGGTATTTTCCATCCACTTTTTAATGGTTTTTGAGCACCACTGAATATGTGACGCCGTGCTGCACATTAGCTCAGAAATCACAGAAATTAGGTTTTTGAAGGCGGAAAGCATCTTCAAAACACAATTCTTGTTCTTGCCTGAAACAAGCCCTAGTATATTTTTCTTCAGGGTTTGGTTAACAAAAAAATTTTTTATGACATTCATTTCCTAAATGCTAATTTTGTTAGCTGTTGAGTAATGAGTGTATGTGTGTATGTGAGATACCAAGTATTTGCCTCTTTTGTGGTCATAACCTTGGCTTTGAAATACTTGGACAAACCAGGCAGGATAAGTTCACATCGTGCCAGGCTGCTAGGGTGGTGTCCAAGGGGTAACAGTTTCTCAGTGCCTCCACCTTGTATTAAAACAAGAATAAAGTTAGCAAACGGCTCCTATGACAGGTGTTTAATCACTCCCTGCCTAAGTCTCTACCAGCTGTGTCACCTCTGTTACCACAGAGGAGAAATGCAATCGGAGTGACAGGGAGAGAGCCAGGTAGACAACTGCCAGTTGTGATACATTAAAAAATAATCTCCCCTTGCCTTCAAAACTCTGTAGATGTCTTGGATATATTGTTTACTCACTCATTTTGAATGCACAGAGAAACATTATAGTAAGTATGGAGTGTGTAGAAGTTGGGTCTGTAGGCGTTAATGTGGCAAAGGGATGGTGAGATGGATAGAAGAACTGCTCTTGAAGAAATGAAGGCAAAACTGAATAAATAAATTTATAAATTAAAAATATGTCTCACATTTTAAAATGGCCTGGAGATGGAAATGCTGGATATTGGGTTCAATCTCCAGTATCACAAAAGCAAAGCAAATAAAGACAACAGGCTAGAGGTGTAACTCAGTAGTAGAACACGTGCTTAGCATGCACAAGGCCCTGGGTTGCATCCCCGGCACCAAAAAATAAAAGTGAAGGCATGCAAACCTAATGATGCAAAAGGAAATATAGGTGTCCTTTGCTTGTAAGCCTGTATGATGTCCTCGAACATTTTTATATATTTATAAATTTTTATATATTTATATACTTTATGGATGTTTTGATATATGTTGAGGATTATGGAGGCTAGGAAGGAGCTAAAACCCAGAATCTAAAGTCTGCTCCTAGCAAATCATGGAACCATAGAATATTACTGCTGGAAAGGATGTTAGAGACTCTGTACACTGCTCACATTTTATACAAAGAGAAATTCAGACCAAGAAAGGAAAGAGGATTTATCCAAACTAGTTAATGTCAACATGCTAGGACTAACTGCCCTACTCCTGACCCTACCATATTACAAATAAGGGCACAGTTTATACTTTTGGAAGCTATTTTAGAAGATGCCTGCTTGCTGTTATTTTTCCCTCCTAACCAGTCAGGCTTACCATGGAATTTTCCTACTTGTTTTTGTTTTGCTGCTGGTGTGTTAAGGACATAGGAGCAACTTTGAAAATACCAGTTACTTTTGAAACCAGTAACCTGCAAACAAGGATGTTGATGTGATTTTTTTTGTTTGTTTAAGGTGCTTTTGCCTTGGAGGTATAAATCTTTTGGATTTTGGAGATGAATTATCCCACATTGGCTTTTTAAATGATAATAGCAAATACCTAAGCCACCTGAGTAATAGAGATGTTCAGAAAATCACTTCAATGTCTTACTCCAAAGCAGCCGTATGCAAGCTATTAAATTTCTAATGTTACCCATTTTGGAGAGCATCCTTACATAGGCTCTGTTTCTGATTCTACAAAGGAATGACTCCAAGGAACCTATTTGTATCTTTGTATATGTATTGATTTATGTATTCTCTGTCTGCAGGGTGTTCCTGAAAATGAAAGGAGAACTACTAAAGCAGAGAGTGCTTGGCTCTTCCGGATATGGTACAACTTCGATCATAAGTATCCTTAACTGAGGGAAAAACAATGATAGTATGGATACAAGTAGTTACAGTTGAATGTAACAATTGGTTTTTTTTGTTTGGTTTTGTTTTTGTTTTGGTGCTGGGGGTCAAGGCCTAGTGTTGTGCCAAGAAGAGGAATATAAAATGTACTTTTAGTCTTCTCTGTTTTTATCAGTGTAGTAGAGGAAGAAATTCACACAAACAGATTCCTCTGCAAACCCAGGAAAATAATAGGGACTGGTTGTTTCACAGCCAAGACTGGTTTTTTTTTTTGGTACCGGGGATAGAACTTGGGTCCTTGCGCTTGCACAGCAGGCGGCGAAACCACTGAGCTAAATCCCCGGCCTGGGACTGGTTGTTTCAGCACCTGGCTTTGTGGAGGCAATCAAGACCTCTGATGACACATTTTCTTTGATATTTAGGTTTAGTCATTGAGCAAACTTAAATATTTGCTGTCCTTTCGATAATTTAGCGGATCTGTTATACTGCTAGGGTGGAAGAGGAAAAGCTGCCTTAGGGAAGAGCATTATAACCCTGCAGTTCTGTTATGTACCACAATACCCAGGGATATGCCTTTTCTTCCCTGGCCTTTCCTAAGACCAGGAGACTCTCCTTTCCTCTCCATTCAGAATGCCACAAATAGCTGATGTTTTCACTGATGACCTAATTTCCTTCTTGTCCTGTTGTCATCTTCACAGCTATACTTTGAATACTGTTGATTTTCCATAACCTATTTAAATCATGCCCTTTATGAATATTTTGCCTCTGTTGAAATTAATTCATTATTTGAAAGTGAACTAGAAAAAGGAGCCATGGAGTATTTTCAGGCTAAAATTTTTCAATAAATGAATCAGACTATGGGTTAGGTTCCATTTAAGCAAATTTGGGGTAGCTGTGTAAAAACATTTTCCTTAGTTTTAACTTTCTGATCAAAGCCTCATATGTTTAAGAAAATGCACCTGACACTTATGATTAGAAGCAATTACTTACAATATTCTGTTCACTAGATTTTTACATTCACTTTTTAAAAGTACTTCAAATCAAATTACTGTATGGAAACAAGAATGCAAGTATATCTGTGGTATTAAGACTCTCATTAGGGAAAGAGAGCTTGGCTCCTTAAAATTGTTTAAAGATTATGTCATTGCTTTTGGCTCCCATTTTCGGCATTTTGGGCTTAAGCCATTCCCATATCTCTTGAGGCTTTTTTTTTAATCTCTGATTTAACAAAATTTCTTGGTATTTTCTGCCCGAAGTATTTTGTACATTTTCTGTATAATATAAACAACAGTTAAATGATTGTAATATAAAGAAAGAGTAGAGTATTAGTTTATTTTCTGTATATTCTTATACAAATAAACATGAAGACTTATTTGACTCTGTCCTGTCCTATGAAGTGCTGCTCAACTAAGATCTGGTCATTATGATAACTAGTACCCTGGTGACATTAATTGATCCAATAGTGTGCAGTGATCCAGTAGTATACAGTGGACTATTTTAGTTTTTTTGCATTTAAGCATGTTTTATGGCTTAAGATATGGTCTGTTTTAGAAAACGTTCTTTGATCTTGTGTCCAGCAATCTTACTAAGTTCACTTACTATTTCTAATAGTTTGCAAATTCTTTTTTTGGTACCGGGGATTGAACTCGGGACCTCGTGCTTGTGAGGCAGGCGCTGGAACCACTGAGCTAAATCCCCGGCCATTGCAAATTCTTTGTAACTTTCTGTTTATACAATCAAGTGATCTATGAATAATGAGGTTTTTTTTTCCTTTTCCAATATCTTGTAAAGTTTTTAGTCTTTTTTGTATCTTCTCACTGGCTGGACCTCTCCAGTGTAATGCTGAATGTAATTGAAGATAATGACATCCTTGTTTTATTCCTGACCTCAGGGAAATTTTTTTCAGCATTACACCAATACATATTATGCCAATTATGGGGTTTGGGAGATATCCTTTACTAAGTTAAGAATATTCCCCTTTATTTTGAGTTTTTTGAGAGATTTTATCATGAACAGGTATTCAGTATTACCAGTTTTTCTGTATCAACTGAGATGATTACTTTTTTTTTCTCCTTCAGCCTGTTACTGTGCTGATTTACATTGATTGATTGTATATTGAACCGTTCTTGCTTTGCTGGAACAAATTCCACTTAGTCATGATGTGTTATCCTTTGTGTATATTACTTCATTTAATTTGGTAATTTGTGTCTGATTTTTGTGTCTCTTCATCAGCGGTGTTGGATTGTGGTTTTTTATTGTAATATTCTTGTTAAGCTTATAAAACAAGATTATTCTGACCTTATAAAATGAGTTGGGAAGTATTCCTTCTTTTTCTGTTTTCTGAAGGAATTAATATAAAATTGGTGTTACTTCTTCCTTAAGTGCTGGGAAGATTTTACCAATGAAGCCATCTGGCCTTGTGCTTTTTGTATAGGAAGGTTTTTAATTTCTTTAATAGATATGGAACTATGTGGGTATTCTTTTCTATTCTTTTTTCAAATTATTTGATAAGATTTTTTAAGGAATTATTTCTGGTGGTGTCAAATGCCAAGATGTACCAGCCTCAGTACTACCCTCTTTTATACTAGACAGAGACCGAATCATTTGTAAACTCAGTATATTAGTAGAATTCACTCTGGTTTTTTAGTGACTTTGTGTAGCCAGGTTGAGTACTCTAAATCTTACTTGGAATTTATTAATATAAGAATACAGTAAATGTTGTCTTTCTTGGTTTTTTTTTTTGGTACTGGGTATCAAACTCGTGTCTTTGCGCTTGAGCAGCAGGCGGCAAAACCACTGAGCTAAATCCCCGGCCCTCTTTCTTGTTTTAAATTAAGGACAGCCTTAGGTTCTGTCTTTCTCCTTTTCCCTCTTCCCCCTCCCCCTCCCCCTCTCTCTTAGTGGTGCTGGGGATAAACTCAGGGCCTCCTGCACGCTAAGCAAGCACTCTGCCACTGAACCACAGCCCAAGTTCTCATTTTAGAATGTGGGGAACATGATAGATGTATCTCTGTCCTTACCTCTTTCCTTTTTCTTGTAATTCCCTCTTTTTTCTTCTAAGTATCATGTATTGTCACATCTATTTTTATTAAAAAATAAGCAAATATTAAAATGAGGGTATACAGTAGAGGAGGTCCTGATACATAGTTTATTTAAATGTCTTGGGAATTTACTTACTTTTTTTCCTTATTCTAGCTTTACATGAAAACAATCAGCCTGATAATGAAGTTTCAACTTTTAGTATCCAGGGGGCCAGCTGAACCCTTAAGAAGTGATTCAAACTATTTTTATTACCATATTCTTCTGCTGGACTATTTAATCTCCTCTCTGACCATTACCATTATTATTCTTTACTTTCTCCCTTATTTTCTGTAGAGCCAGGTTGAAAGTGATCTGGTATTTCTTTTGTTTTTAGTAAAATCAGAAAAGCAATATGATGTAGTTGAATGGGCACATGATTTAAACCAAACCCATCTGGGTTAGTAGATCAGTCCCCATTTCCTTAATGGTATGACTTAGGCAGGTCTGTGACCTCTCTGAGCCTCAGTGTCCCTAACTGAAATGGACATGATAGTAAGGTCTCCCTTTGCTGTCTCACTGCCATTGCATGGTGATGAGATGAGTCTGCATGCGTGAAAGCATTTTGCCACCATGGCGGTCATTCCCCTGCGAGGCTGACTGTCATCAGTTGAGTTGTTCATTCAGATGTGGGAAGAAAGGAGCAGTGATGAGCGCAGTTCTTCCTTAACCTTGGCACAGCTACCTGAAGCCTCTGCTGACACACAGTGGGCCTCCCCTCACCACCACGCTCCCAGCCTGCTTCGGGCCCATTGCCAGGTGTCTAACCAGTCCCCAGGCTTACGAAGTAAGTGGCTTTTATTTATGAACCGAATTCTTCGGCAAGTTCCACTTAGCTGCTTGGGGTGTGGGTGGGAGGCTTTCTGGTGTTCTTTTACTTTAGTTTGGGTTTTGGCCTTTGAGGTATAAAATCCCGGAGAAGGAATTTAAACATATTTTGCTCAACCAGAAACTACAGTGGAATCTATAAATACAACTCACTGCCTTTGAAACATCATTTGATAGCAGGTGTAGACTAGTACCTCATCTTACTGTGAGTAATTTGAGTAAGTCTATTTCCATGCCAGTTTTCAGTTATTTATAGTATGTGGCCTGAGGTCAGCACATGTATGTGTTTTCATCTACACATGAGGGTGGTTGGAATTTTATTCGTTTTGTTGCAGTGCAGGGCCCTGGAATTTTATTCATTTTGTTGCAGTGCAGGGCCTCACACACTAGGCAAGTGCTCGCTCTACCAGTGTGCTACATCTCTAGTCCCCTAAAACAAATTCTGATGATCTACTTGTAATAGGGATTTTATTCACACTTACTAACTGTTAGATGTTAGGGAAAGTTTATCTGCCTCTCTTCTGTATTGCTAGGAGGCGTGGATATCTAGACACTATATATCTAGGCATGGATACATCTAAAGTCCATATTTTTTCCTTAACTACCAACATATGATTGGTAATTTGGTAAATATTTTAACTAAGAAGAAAGTGAAAGATATGCTAACTAGCTACTATTCTATACTGTAAATCTTTTCATTTTTTTAAACCTTTGATTCTAAACCAACCCTGCTACTATAGGAACAGGGCCAAAGGCACTGTGCTCTGAGAGCACACCAGGAGCGCCACCTAACCCAGACCTGGAAGATCAAGAAAGACTTCAGGAGGAAGTGAAGCATAGGTTCTGGTCATGTGATGCGGAAGGAGGGGACAGAGAAAGCCCTAGAGATCTGGGCAGCTAGCTGGCTGGCACACAGTAGGGCCGTAGGGGTAGGAGAGGCAGGTTGTGGCAGAAGATGAGGCTGAAGGGGCCAAGTCACACTGTGTCTGTTGAACTAAGGTAAGGGCTTTAGACTCTGTCTTGAGAGCAGTGGACTTCCACTGAACAGTTTTAAATAGCAAATCGGTAAAACTTCTCCTATTGGAAATAGTTCTTTAATTTCATAACAATTCTTAACCTTATTTGTGTTTAGAACCAAGAGCAGTTGAAAGATGATGACTCCGATCTGATTCTGAACGATGGAGATATCAGTTTGACATACGGGGATTCTACTGTGACCACCGAATCGGCACCATCTGGAGTCCCGAGGAGATTTATGGGCAACAGCTCTGAAGATGCCTTGGATCGGGAGCTTGCATTTGGAGACCACGAACTGGTCATTCGAGGGACGCGCCTGGTTCTTCCTATGGATGATTCTGAACCCGCATTAAATTCATTAGATGATACGAGACACAGCCCAGCCTAAGCTTATTAGTACTTACTTAGTGATTTGTATAATTTGCACATGTGATTGTGAAGAAATTTGTACTACCTAAAAAGTCCTAGTGCATGTCTCTGAATGTGTAAGCTATATAAATGCTATTTATATGGCATAGAAAGAATATAAATATCCTGTACAAGGCAGATTGTGAGCAAACTGTTCTTTTAAGTTTTGATGGCTGCTCTGTGTAGGCTGGATCTGTTTTAGAAGGTTACTTTCACAGTGATGTTGTGTGTTCTGTTAGCTTTATGTTTCAGTTAAAGTATAAAAAGTGACAGATTTACTCTTTCTTATATTTACCTGACACTTATCCGGAGTACCAAGTTCTTGTGATGTGAATTAATTTGTGTGTGTGTGTGTGCGCGTGCGCGTATGTGTGTGCGTGATGGGGGAGGGAGAGGGACGAGGGGGTGTTACTGCCGAGGGAACCTAGGGAGGGGAGGTTCCTTTGTTGGCAAACTTCTGCTGGCTGCTGCTGCCTTTGTCCTGACCTTTCTCTTTCCTTTCTCTGGTGGCCCACTGTGGTGCAAGAAACTGATGGCATTTTGATCTTGCCCCATTCAGGTTGGGGAGTGAAGTGCGGGGCCTTTTGCCCCCTTGCTATGAAAGAACAGATTCACTGACTACCATACATTGCTGTTCTCAAAGCAGGCTACACATGACCTTAGTGCTTTCCTTCTAGGCCAAGACTGCAGGAGTCGCATCTGGCTGGCTTTGCCAAAGTACAGGTGTATGTAGTTCAGGGCACTTGATTTACATTTGGAGGGGCTGGGTCAGGTGGAGAGGGCAAGAAAGAAGTAAAGAGCATGATGATGTCAGAGGTCTCTCTTCTCAAATATGTAAATATACCCGATAAGTTTAAATAAGAAATCTGATTGCTGCTTAATTTTTGATCATGTACTTTATCTGTATAGCAAGCTTTGTTTTCAGAAGTTTTTATATCGATTTAAATTGCTGCCCTTGAGCAGCCAGACAGGAGCAAAATGTAAAATTTTTAAACTTAACTGTGTCTAATTGTCATTTGTTAGTCTGTAGTAGATGTGAAAATTTAATTTATGAATCCAGGATCATCCGTACTACACCAAAGGCAGTCTCTGGAGCACTTACGGCAAGGTGGCTCCTTTGTGTGCACTGGGTATAGTTGTCTTCATTATCATGTTATGTTTAATATTAAATACCTAAGCTGCCATATGAGTTTTTACTTTTACAGTTTTCAAGGAAGAGCACAGAAAAATTTCCCATTTCACATTCATAGTATGTAAGTGGATTCTGTTTTGTAATGCTGAAAATACCTGACAGTGCATTGAACACTTGGAAGGGAAGTACTTTTTGATGTTGATTCTGTTAATGACTCAGAAGAACGGTACACACCCTTGTGGATTTTTTTTCCTCAGGTCTGAGTAGCATTGCCTTAAATTTTACCCAATTAGAAAGTCACTTTATTTAATGTGATGTTCAAATTTTCCACCAAAAAATCCTTCCAAACAGAGTTCTGTGCTATCGCAAATACTCCTTGAGATTTTAAAGGAATTTCCATGTTGTACCCTTTAGTGGCGGCCTTGACTGTTGGCATAGCCATTTGTTATGTAGTGGTAGCGACTTTCCTGCCATGCAGGACTCCCTCCTGTGAAGTGTATGTTTTATACAGTGTGTGCCTCTTCATGCAGTGAATAATTTCTTGTTAATGTATGTTTGAGGGGCTTTGAATGTCAGCGTTATTTACCCACAGAGTTATTCAAGTTGTAAAAGGTTATACAATAATTTAACAACTACCTTTTTTATTCTGTCAGGTTACTGAGCTCACTTTACGAAAATGGCTGTAAATACTTAGCATGACAAATTCTGTAACTCGTCTGTTTCAGCATGCATTAGGGAAACTGGTAAAGCTTGAGTCCACTAAATCTGCCTTCAGTACTTTATCAAAGGAGAACCAAGCCTGCTGTGCTTATATCAGCATCTTGAAGATTCTCTGCTCCTCCAATCAGTGTACACATCTCCATACAAAGAAGAGAAAACCATCTCTGCTCAGATACCTATCGTTTGGAGACACCTGAGTGAACTTTGATGAAGGACAGTATGAATTACCATCATGCACAAGTAGAACTGCTCTTGGACCTGTCTTTCTGTTGTTTGCAGAACCTACATGTTTGATTGACTTGAACGTTGCATCTTTTGAGGTTATTTTTTAAGGTCTCTTGGCATTTATCCTAGTTGTCTGTGTTTGGCAATGTGCTGTTGAAGTAATAGACTTTTAATCTCTATGTATTTTTTGTTTTCCCTTGAAGTACTTGGACAGATATTATAGTCGTTTCTTTTAGGAAAATCTGTCATTAAAATTATAGCCTTGCAAATAACCACTCACCATATTGAGTCACGGCTTATTCTAGTGAGACATAAAGAGTGCTGACTTCATTTATTTTTCTACCTGTATACCTACTGGAAAAAGGGGAAGGATGATGTTTTAAAAAGAAACAAAAGCCTCACAGAAATTAACTTAATGGGGTGGCAAAGTTTTGCTGCTTGTATGCAAGGTTGGTTATATTTGCTTATGGTCACAATTGGAACCTTTAAGAAATACAGGTGAAAGCAGTCCAATGCCATTACATTGATTTGCAGCCTTTTAGCTCAGAAGCAGAGAATGTCACGAACATGTTAGCTCCATTATATAGGTGAGCTGGTTCTGTATCCAGTGTGGAGGAAAGACAATTCCAAGGGTGCTTGAAATCAAGCATGATAGCACAAATAATCCTTCCTCCAAGTTAAAGATACGTCTCCCTTTTTGTACTTGAGATGTTTTGTAGGTTAGTTTGGTGACAGCAACTTTGTCTAGTCTGGTTAATGGCCCCAGCCACTCTCTGTGTTCTGTTATGTCACCATCCACTCCATCATCCTCGCTCACAGCCCGGTGAGAGGTGCAGATGGGGGCTGATAAGCAACAGGCTCTTTGCTTGAACTCACATTTTCTAATTCACCACAACCTACATTAGATTTGATCTTTTTTGAAGCAAACCATTTATTGGTGCATTTTAAATAATCATAATAATATTCATCATAGGGAATTTGTACCTGTACATGGTATATCTTGCTTCTTTTTTCCCATTCCCCTCCCCTCCCTCTGACCCCTCCTCCCCTCCTTATTTACAAAAGTTTTGTTTCCATTTTTTCCTTCTTTTTCATTTTTTTGTTGTCCCTTCTTTCCTTTCCCCTTCCTTGTTCCCCTTCTCATTTGAAGATTTTTTTCCCCCATTTCCCAATATGTAAAATACATTTTGGTCCTTATTTCCACTTTTGGTTTCTCAGACCAGAGAAACAATGAGGTATTTAAACATGTGTGCCTGATTTATGTCACTTAAGAGTAGTGTCAAGGTACATCCATTTAGCTAGAAATGTCTCAAGTTTATCCTTCTTTATGGCAGAGTAGAACTCCATTGTGTATAAAAACCACATCTTTATCCATCAGTTGATGGGCATTTGGGCTGTTTCCAAGATGTAGCTATTACAAACTGCCGCTGTAAACATGGGTGTGCATATATCTCTGTGGTATGATGCTTTTAATTCTTTTGGGACAATACAAAGAAGAGGAATAGCTGGATCAAATGGGACCTCTAATCCTAGTTCTTTGAGGTATCTCCATACTGATTTCCACAGTGGTTGCACCAGCCTGCACTCCCACCAGCAGCGGAGGAGGGTTCTTTTTTCCCCACAGCCCTGCCAGCATTTGTTATTGGTTGATTTGATAGCAGCCATTCTTTCTGGAGTGAGGTGGAATCTCAGTGTTGTTTTCATTTGCATCTCTCAAATGACCAGTGATGTTGAACATGTTTTCATATATTTATTTCCCATTTCTACTTCATCTGAGAAGTGTCTGTTCATTTCAGATGCCCATTTTTGGATTGGGTGTTTAAATTGGGGGGGTCTAATTTTTTTCAGTTCTTTATATATTTTAGATATTAGTCCTTTGAGGAACAGTTGGCAAAAATTTTTTCCCACTCTGTGGGCTGTCTCCTAGCTCTGCTGGTGGTTTCTCTGGCTGTGCAGAAGCTTTTTAATAAGATGAGATCCCAGGTGTTGATCCTGTGCAGTCGGGGTTTTGTTTGCAAAGTTCTTGCCCACACCAGTGTCTTCAAGAATTCTATCTGTTCTGCCTTCCCACAGATTTAGTGTTTCTGTTTTAATATTTACATCTCTGATCCATTTCAATTTTAGTTTAGTGCATGGTGAAAGAGATAGGGGTCTAGTTTTAATCTTCAATATGTGGAAAGCCAGTTTTTCCAGCACCATTTACTAAAGAGGCTATCTTTCTTCCAGTAAAGGTATTTGGCCCCTTTGTCGAAGATAAGGTGGCTGAGTGCGACTGGAGTTGTTTCTGCATCTAATCTGTTCCACTGATCCTCAGGTCTGTTTTTTTCCCAGTACCATGCTGGGGTTTTTGTTTGTTGTTTGTTTGTTTCAATCACAGTAGCTTTGTAGTATAATTTCAAGTCAAGGATTGTGATGTCCCTTGCCTTGCCTTTGTTGCCCAGAATTGCTTTCGCTGTTCTACGTTAGATTCGAACAAGTGCATTAGTTAACCTGACAGTGCTGAAATATAAGAAAGTGTGGTTGTTTTAACTTTTATCAGAAGGCTCTTGACAGGAAGTACACCATCAAAATGATGCAAGATGAGGCTTGAAAATGAATCGGAAATGAGAACAACGGTTCCCCCCTCTCCTTTTTTTTTTTTTCAGTGCTAGGGATTGAACCCAAGCCTTGTACATTGAGCTACATCCCCAGGCCCTTTTTCATTTTGATACAGGGTCATGCTAAATTTCCCAGGCTGGGAATGAATTTGTGATCATCCCGCCTCAGCTTCTCAGAGTGCTGGGATTATAGACATGTGCCGACACACCAAGCTTTATAGTTCCCATTTATGAGCCCCTCTGAGGTACAGGCAATGTGTATATGAGGTACTTTTTAATCTATATTTTAATTCAGTCTTAACCATGCTGTGAAAATACATTTTTTTCTCATTTCACACAGGAAGAACCTGAAGTTCAGAGATGTTGTCACATGTCTAGTTAGTCACAGAGCCAATACTCAAATCCAGCCTGAATCCGAAGTCCAGATTCTTTTTTCTTTCCAGTACTAAGGATTGAACCCAGGATCTTTGCACTGAGTTACATTCCAGCCTTTTTATTTTATATCTTTTAAAAAATTTTTTGAGACAGGTTCTCACTAAGTCACTAAGTTGTCAAAGCTGGGCTTCAACTTGGAATCCAGCTGCCTCAGCTTCCCAGAGTGCTGGGATTACAAGTGGGAGCCACTATGCCCAGCCAAAGCCCAAATTCTGATCCATTACTAGATCGACAGGCAGGTGCCACGCTCAAAATCCATCTTGACAATAACCAGGACTGTGAAGGGAATTGTAGATGTCAAGCTTGCTGCCTACCACCCGCTTGTCATTAGGACAGGGTAGGGCACATAGTATCACTGTGTCCCTCCATTTAGTCCCCTGTTGGCTGTAGGACATGAGTTCCCCTGGTTAGGAGGGTTCTCACATTCTTAGCCAAGGGCCCTCCTGTGTCTGTCTAGCCCATGGGTAAGGCATCCTGGCTAACAGCATTCCTTCACACTACCTCCCAGCTTTTCCACCAACAGGGCCATCTCCTAAACAATGGATTAGTTTAGTGAAAATCCCTAGACTTTGGAGTTACACAGTCATGAAGTCAAACTCAGGCTCTGCTACTTGTACAACACTGACCAGTGAGTGACTTGACTTCAGCCTCTTGGGTTAAGTCCATCCAAGAGATACCTGAGAACTTACTTTGTGTTAATACACAGTGAAGATAGCAGCAAACAACTGGACAACAGTCCCAGCTCTCTGGGAGAGTATTGTACAGGAGTACAGATAGCTGTCTCATGGGGTTCTTGGGAATCATTCAGGAAAGAAGGACCAATTGTCTTCTAGTGGGGAAATACTGATCTTTAATCAAATAACCTCAAATACAATAATCATAAATCCTTTGATGGAAAAGTATAGGGCACTATGAGAGGGTATTATAATCTGGTGGTACAGATAAAGTGATAGTGATATTTAAGCTTAGACTTCAAGATAAGTCAAAGGGAAGAGAAGTGAGGATGAGGGACATTCGGAGCAGAGTGGACAGTGACCTATAGTTAATGTTCCACACAACAGTCCTTTAGTCAGGTTATCTATTGAGTGACCGAAACACGTGCTGTGCTACATACATATATGAGGAATAAAACAGATGTGCGACCTCACTCACAGCACCTAAATACTAGTATGGAAGACAGTAATTACGAAGTTATGAGCACGGTGAATACCTTGAACAAAATCTGCTCCCTGCAGCTCCCTCCCCTTCCCTTGGTCCTGCTGGATCACCAAGAAGACAACTCCACCTCTCTGTGTTGCTACCTTCTGGCATTTGAAAACAGGAGCTGGTGTGTCTGCCCTCAGTCTTTCTGTCCCCAAGATAAACAACCCCATTCCCCTTCTATAGTCCAGACATCCTTGCAAGAACTCTACTGTTATACATACATCATTCTGGCTTGGATTCATAGCTGCACCACACCCTTATCTTGCAGTCAGCACAATGTGGGCCGGCACCCTGCCCTTGGGGAGTTTCCATTCTGTGTGGGAAAGCCTTCCATAACACACACCACACACACACACAGCATGCACATAAGAGGGGGCCGGTGGGGGGGACTCCCATGCAAAATAGGAAGAGATGGAGATACATGCCAAATGGGAAATATTACAGAGGGTAACGGACATGAGGTGGGGCAGGTATGGAAGTGGCAGTCAAGAGTCCTTGCTTAAGAGAGCCCATTGAAACCAAGACTTGAAAGAACCAGATGCTGGGCAGAGAACAGAAGAGTGGTGAAAAGCTCTGGTTTAGGGTATATGCTCAATGAATGCTTGCTGACAAGGACAGAAATGTCTTCCTGACCTCCATTCATCCAGAGTTTGAAGGCCAGCATGCCAGAATGAGACTCAACAGGCTAACAGCTGGGAAGCCAGAGTCCTTGACCTGCCTGCCACTGGGCACTTTTAGAAAGCCACCTAAATTTTTCTGAGACTGCTTCTTCCTTTATAAAATGATGACAGTTCAAAGATTCGGTAAACATTTATTGAGCTGTTAGCATGTGCCAGGCACTGTGGTAGGTACTGGATGATGATTCCAGCCCCAATTAGCTGCCAGGCTTGTTAAGGGATCAGATGATGTGATGTACATTGAAATATTCTGCCTGGGATTGAGAAGGCTTTGGAAACCAGGGTTGAGTGTTCTGTATGGTTTTGCTGATGAGGTGCTATTTGATTAAATGTGGAAAACTGGAGACCATGCAGCTCCTCTGGGCTG